ATTTGAACTGCCGACCTCTGGTTAGCAGCCATAGTTCACCGCAGCTCTTAACCACTGTGCCACCAGGGCTCCATCCAAAACAGTATTTATTAAAATAAAGGCAAGCAAAATGAGAACACTTCCCAGAAAGCAAGACAATTATTAAAATAAAAATGTCAACAGACAATAATAGTGTTGCATAGCTTCAATGTTTTTATATTGATCAAATTGTTTTTCAGTAGTCACTGATGAAAAACATTCCAAATTTACAGAAAAAAATATTGCTGATCAATTAAGATACTTTTCTTTCTTTTAAATAATATTTTATTGTTTTAGGTGAAAGTTTACACAGTAAAATAGGTTCTCCTTTAACAATTTTTATATAAATTGTTCCTTGCCATTGGTTACAATTTCTACAATTTGTGTCAGCATTCTCATTATTTCCATTGTGTTTGTTCTGTTTCCATTGATTTAGCTTTCCTTCCCCTCCTGGCCTTCTCATCTTTGCTTTCGGGTAACTGTTGACCGTTTTGTCTCATGTAGTTAATTATTTATGAGATTACATTACTCATGGGTGACAATGATTTTATAAGCCCATCTATTATTTGGCTCAACGGTGACCTCCAGAAATAGCTTCAATTCCAACTTCAAAGGTTATTTTAGGGCAATAGTCTTGGGGGTTCCTCTAGACTCTATCGGTCCAGTAGGTCTGGCCTTTTTTGGGAATTTGAGTTTTCTCCTACATTTTTCTCCCATTCTGTCCAGGACCTTCTATTGTGTCCCTGGTCAGAACAGTAGGTAGAGGTAGCTGGGCACCATCTAGTTCTTCTGGTCTCAGGTTAGAACAGCTTGTGGTTCATGTGGGCTATTAGTCCTATGGACTAGTTTCTTCTTTGAGCATTTGATTTCCTTCATTCTCTTTTGCTCCATAGGAGTAGAGACCAATACAGGCAGTCCCTGGGTTACAAACATCTGACTTATGCGCAACTTGTACTTACCCTTTAATGTTACGTAAATTTCCCCTCACTTTGAAATGACTGAACCAACCCCTACTCACAACTAATTCTTTATCACAATCACCGTCCCTTGTTGCCCTTGCAGCTTTTAAATCATTGAACAGGCTTTGAGCCTTTTCTCGCAATAAAGCAAGGCTAAATAAGAACCTGCATGCACCTGTTCCGACTTACCTACAAGTTCTTAAAGACACACTCAGGAACGGATCTCGTTTGTAACCTGGGGACTGGCTGTAGTTGTATCTTAGATGGCTGCTCACAAGCTTTGAAGACCCGAGATGCTACTCACCAAACTTGGATGTAGAACATTATCTCTGTGAACTATGTTATGCCAATTGACTAAGATGTCCCCGGTAAAATACTTTTCAATCTCCATGACTTAACACAAATCCTTTAGCTGCTCCAAACAGAATGTGAGCTATAAAGATGGTGGGACAACTCTGCCGTCAGACTTGCATGCATTTGATTCCCCAGGTCATCTTTACTGAGACTGGTCTCAGTTTAGGATGACAGGCAAGGACCAGAGGACGGCAATGGCAATCCTTGTCTTTGCATTCAACATAGCCTAGCTCTGAGGGATAATCCCTGGAGGACAAAAACTGTGATAAATATCTCTATAGCAGCTTTGGTTTAGGATTAATTTAGATTTTCTGGAATCTCAAACCCCCACCATGTTAATCTGGAAAGAACCAAAGAGCTCATGTAATCTAGCCCAATCTTCCCCTTTTACAGATGTGCACAGACACGGGCCAACAAGTGACACATCTTGCTTAAGCCTAGGTCTAGATCCAAGTCCTACCTCTTACAATCTTTCCCCATGATGCTGCCTCTTCATTGCCTCTAGAGAATGAAGAGGCCTGTTGCTTGCCCTCAAATGATAATTCCTACAGAATAAAAAATGTCAAATGCATCTACACTAATGTAAAAGCATACTTAAGTATAAATTACCGTGGGAGGAACTTAAGACCAGTAGAAGTTTGTGATCCACCCACCCCTACCCCCACCCACCCCAAATGAGTTGAATCTTTCTCTCTGGAAGGTCAAAACACCAAGTCCAGGTTCTACAGAGTGGCACCAGTGGGGATCTCCCACCTTGATTAACTCAGCACATCAGTGTGTCTAATTAAACTTCCTGAGAGCACCAGAATGTAGGATGTAAATGTCTTCTCCATTCACACCCAGCCAAATTTCCCAGGCAAAATATTTATCATGATTCTGATAAAATTCTTTACTTATGACTAAAAAAGCCTCCTTGAGTATAACTGCTTAAGTGTATAAGGTGGTGAAACAGGAATTTTGAGCTACAGAATTTAATTGGTAATATCTACAGTATTTACTTGTATATTTTGCCCCCATGAATGATTCTCTTGTCTTGTTCTTTCCCATTATTCTATGGATTTTCTTCCTGGCAACATCTGCTGAATCTGAACTGCTGACCAGCACAGTGGCAGGAAGACTGGCTGCAACCTTTGGTAAGCTTTTTAGAAATTTGTATGTAACAATAGTGGCAGCATTTCTGCAACCATATTAAACAACTTAAATTTGTTTTTTAAAAAAATACAGCAAATCTGTAAAAGCAGGGACCTGCGTAAGGTGGAAACCTGTCAGAGAAGGAAAATCCAAATATTTTCCACTAAAACGAGTCATAGAAAAGTGGTAAGACTGCACCCTGTCAAAGGTGGAAAACTTGCGAGACCTGGAAAAACAAGGCAGTCCCTCAGAGTTTCGGCTATCACAGGTTTCACTGTAATAATAAAAGACAAATCTCCAAACACATTTAGACCTCTCAGACTTTTAGCACACAGGGTGACTATGCATTTTCATCAAGTGGCAATCATTTGCTAAATATCCTGATGGCACTGAAATTTATGCTAGCGCTCCCTCTTCCCTCTTATTTTTTGGTGCTTTGCTAATAGAATTTTTGAGACTGAACTGAACAAAGGTGCTGGTATGATATTCCTTTGTGCTCTTGTTTTCCCTAGAAGAAAAACAATTTTCTCTTATAAAAACCCAGATGACCCTATTTGATATGTTTTTGGGCTAACTGCTTAACAAGTTAACTGTTCCACGTAACTCATCCACAGTAGTGTCAGTTATAGCCCAGCTGATGAAATTCACATTAATAACTTGATCCTACTCAATCCTCATAATCAACCTAATGCATAAGCATTGTTTCTCCCAATTTACAGATGAGGAAATAGAGGTAGAGCTCTTAAGCGATTGGGACTTGAACTAATTAGCACTGAGTAGGGTTAAGTACCAAATCTCCTACCCCTTAGCTCCAAATTTTCCTGCTCCCTTCTGCTAGCTGTTCTTGTTTCACAGTATGGGGTTACAGCACTGTATAACACCTCCCTTTTATCCCTCCCATTTAGCAATAAAATATTGGTGGGGAAAAGATGGGAAGTATGCAAGTAAGTTTGCTAGCTCTGGAGATAAAGAACCCTCAGAAACCTAGCCCCTGCTGTATAGGTTTTTTTTATCCATCTTGCAACCAGGAAACTACTCAACTGGTCCAGAGTTTGTAAAATAGCAAAATGGCTTCATTTACGTGCACTATAGTATGAAAGCATCCTTTTTCTATAAATACTGTTGAGAAACTGGCTTAGCTTCCTCTTCTGGATACACAAAAACAGCTATTTAAAAATACCACATTAAAATTTTCATGTAATTTATTTTCCTTAAATAATAATTTGCTACAATCCTGTCACAAATTTTAAAAAAATTTAACACAGTATTAACAAAGGCAGAATTCTTTAAGGACAATCAAAATCATGGTGTACTTAGAATAAATTAACATCGAATTGTGTTTATATTCAGATACTCTGATCCTCTCCTTTGAAATGAAAATGGAGACCACTGCAACTGAGGGTGAATGCACACATTTGTTCTTCTATACAGAGACTCATTCTTTATATAAACTCAACTGTAATTTGAATCGAGTTAGGAATCCTGAGAAACACTCACCCATGGGCGCACACACATGTACACACACCCACGGACGACCCTCCAGAAGCTGGGTTTCCCATGGTTCAATTACTAGATCTTTCTGAGAAGGGCCACAGATTCTGAATATTTCGATGATATCCTGTATCCCCTCACGACAATCATAATGTTTCAAGTGTCATAGCTTGAAGTAGCAGCAATACATGTAGTAGGTTCAGTAGTAAATGATTCCAGTCCTGGATTCTGAGTATACAGCAAGCGGTACGGAGAGGCAAGAGACACCTGCTTCTAAAACTAACAAACATGACGACAAGACTCCGAGAGTCCTAGTTCTCAGTCTCAACTGAAAATTCACCAGAACGTAGCATTATTATTCCGGTGCAGGCACTGCGCATGAACCTGAAGAGGGTCATTAATGCAGGGAGGAAGTCAGGGGGGCTGGGCATGGTTCTCACAAACATGACCATCGGAAGTGACAGGGAGATGGCACAAAGGAAGGGAGGGCAGAAAAGGTACTGCTCATTCTTCAGCCTGAAAGCCTACCCTCCTGCTGTTGTAGTACATTCATCAGGGGTTCCTTAGCATCGGAGGTGTGCCAACTCTAATTTCCAGCTCCACTTAGAAGCACAGAAAGCTCAGCCCTTATACTCCTATACACATACACACACAAAACATCCACGCAACCCTAAATAACCATACCACCGTGTTTCTGGGAGGTCAACAGCACTCCTGGCATTCCTTCTGCATTGCCCAAGGGTGGCTTACAGGGGTATGGTAATGTCTAGGTAGAAGGCATTAGGACAGGCCCCAAACAGAGATCCCCTTTGCTTATATCTCCATAGGGACAATGGGTCTAAGTGATGCTATATATAACAGCATGCGTATCTACACAATTCCTATGTACATGATACCTTTTCTACAGTAATTTAAAGTGCCTGGGTTCAAATGTGCTCATTCCTTTCCCACAGCCCACACAGGTTCCTCTTTCTGCTTCTAGAGAGAAGGTCTGTCCCTTAAGGAGGATGCCCCTGGGAAAGAGGAATGAATGTTTTCACAGTTGTCTTAGCTGGGATCCAGCATTTGGACTAAGCCTTCTTCATATACACGAAGAACTGCTTCACACACAAACTTGTACTGGCTCTGGAAAAGAAATACAGCAGTCAAGTCAGGCAGCTCCAAAACCATTGCACGATAGCATGTATGTGGTTATTCTTTCCCATCATTCACAAGTACTCACTGAGCGCCAGCTCTGGACCAGGCCAGACCTTGTGTTACGTGTCAGGGAAACATGTGCAGAAGACACACCCGTGAACTAATAATTCTTATCTGATGCGGGGGTGGGGGGGAAGTGCTCCAAGAGGGGTGGGCAATGTGTCATGCAAACACAACGGAGGGAGAAACTGGCTGTCTAGGGACATCAGGGAAGGCTGCGAAAGGGAAAGGTCACTGCAAGGTGGCCACGCTGGGCAGAAAGAGCAGTGTAAGAAAGGTGGAGGCCCACATGCTAGGCAGAGGGTGCCTACGTGACCAGCCCCCATTAAAAACCCTGGGTATTGAGTCTCTAATGAGTTTCCCTGGTAGACAACATTGCACACATGTTGTTAGAATTCATTGCTGCAGGAATTAAGTATAACCTGTGTGATTCCACTGGGGGAGGACTCTTGGAAGCTTGTGCCCAGTTTCCTCTGGACTATCCCCATGTATGTTTTCCCTTTGTTGATTTTGTTTTGTATCCTTTTGCTGTAATAAATCACAGCTATGGAAAAAAAAAAAAAAAACAGTGTCGTGGCCTCTCAGTCAGGGCTCACTGTCCTGGCCCAGGCTACTTGGCGTGGGGAGGAGAAGAGCCTGCACAGGTGGGCCGCCACCTAGTTGTGGGGGCCTGATGCTGGGTAGGAGCCTGGACTTAGTCGTACAAATGGCAACAGCCACTGAAAGCTGTTACACAGAATAAGGCTTTTAATATTAGCAAATACCTAAGAAACTTATTTAAGTGAAGTGTACAGGGCACAGGAAAGCATTTTAGACTGAGCTTCACCAGCTAGAAAATCTACCAAGACAACGCACTTTTCTTCCCTTTTTACCAGCAATGAGGGCTTCCATACAAGAAAACAAGGTAGAGAACAGCTTTAATAACCGAAGCCATTTTTTTCTCTTATCCAGAATTCCTGGTTACAAACTAATATAAAGCCTCAAGAGCTCATAATGTATTAGGGAAATCATTTAAACTTTGTCCACAAGCCTGTGAGGATACAGAGCTGGCTGGGACACAGAATTCCTGCTCCTTTCTTTGCTAACTCCTTCTCATCCATCCTGGGGGTTGTGCCTGAGAAGCCACTCTCTAGGAAGCCTTCCTTGAGCTCTCAAAGTCTGCTTTAGGCACCCTTCCTCCAAGTTCTCAGACCCTACTAAATGTCCCATCACTGATGGGACTTACAATTGACAAATTCAGTTCTCCTACTAGATACAAGCTTGGTCTCTCCAGTTTGTGCAATTATCTGTTGAATGAATGAATGAATGAACATGGGATGGTCTCCATTTTGCAGATGGGGAAACCGAGGCTTGGAGAGAGGTTAAAGGACTATCCAAAGGTTGCCCAGTATGTGGTGGAGTCTGAACTATGCTCTTTCCACACCACCACACTGTCCCTCTGGTAGTTCTGAGGGAAAGCCACAAGACTGCCTCTTGGGGACACTTGAAGTGGCAAGAACTCAGGTACTACATAAGTGGGAGAAAGCCCAAAGGAGGGAGTGGGGCTGTGTGAAAGGTCCACCTAGTCAAAGGGTCACCTAGAACACGTGGGTGGGTGCAATTCCCCAGGTGGCCTTGCTTACTTCTGATGGTTTGACAATGCAGAATGCAATCAGAGCGGCTCCTTGGCCCAGAGGCTGACAGGAAATGAACCACTGATGCAGCAGAAGGGAGGGCAGCGAAATGCAGAGGTTAGACAGGTGTGGGCTCTGGAGTCACTCAGCCCCCAACAAGCTCTCAGACCCTGGACAAGGGACTCAATCCCTTGAGCCTCAGGCTCTTGACCTGAAGAGCCCTCAGTGCAGCCTGGCCCAGGGTCAGCACTTGGTAGGTGACAGCCATTGCCACTGTTTTTATTACTGAATGTCTACTTACTGATGTCTGCACCATCATGGCACGCTGGTCTCGCATTTTCCGGACAATATCCAGTGGGTAGACGGGCAGGTTCCTCTCAATTAAGCACATGGCTGTTTCCATAGTGACCAACACACCAGTTCGACCTATTCCCGCACTGGAGAGGGGAGATGGAGAGACTTGGGATTTGCCCAAGCAGCACTTCTGCCCAGTCCAGCTTAACTCCTACCCAGTTCCCACGTTTGCTAAGAAAGAGCTTTCCTCTCCTCACCTTCCAGAATACAAAACACATCCTCCTCAGGGTGTGCTCTCAGGCATGCCTAAAGAGCCTATCTTCATATATTCTGAGGTCAGGGGGCTTAAGAACCAATGGAAAGAAACCTAGGGTTAAGTGCAAAATCCACCCCCTTGTTATTCACATCTGTTGTGAAGGTTAGTAGACACGACAACAAAGGTAAAGATGAGGATGGAACTCTCTTCTTCAGTTTTGCATTATATTTGGAAGTCTGTAATGTCAGAAATTCCCAGTCTTTTAAAACAGTAAAGAAATAAAGTAATACACGTACTTATGAAACAACAAGCCACAATACCTGCAATGAACTAAGACGGGCTCATTGTCTATTCTCAGGGACCGCATATGGTTTACAAATTCCAAAAAGTCTGAGGAATCATCAGGAACGCCGTGGTCAGGCCATGAAACGTACTGGAGATGGGTGACCGTGTGCTCTTCTCCTGTCTGGGGAAGACATGGTGCCCTTGGTGACTCAATGCAGACGAGCGGGCAAGCAAACCCCAGCCCCGCCTGGCCACCAGCCAGGATAGCCCTGTCTCCTGATGCTCCTTCTCCCACTATGCGTGGTCCTGCTGTGGCCCTGCTGATGCTGGGCTTCCTGTCTGTCTATCCACCCACCTACTCTCTCAAAACACCCCCCACCCCCTGCAGGAGTGCTTCTTTGACTGCTTCTGCCTACAGCCATCTCTTCCTGTTGGTGCCATGTGAGGACCACACATGACTGTTCTTGTCCGGTCAGTCTTGCGTAATTATTGAAATGCTCACTGGAGAAAATGTAGACCCACAAGTACGGCCCAACTCAGGACCACAGCAGATGCTGACTTAGTGCCTGTATCTAAGCTGTGCCCTCCCCACACCACCCACTGCCAGGCCCTGCTCACTGCCAAGGAGGCACTGCTCACCTCACTGTTGGTGACCAGCATTTCTCGGAATACGTAGGCGATGGTGCAATCCTCTGACTGGCACCGGATGTGGAAGCTGCCGTATTCCACGACATCAGGAGGGTTAGGCCAGTACTGGTGACATTTGGTCTGTAAGGGAACCACTGTTTGTCAGTTGGGTAGGGCTGGGCTATCAGGCCTCAAGAACCTCCTCTGCGGGTGTGTGTACCCAGTGGTTAACCATGGACAGACGGGTCGGGTGTTTGGGCAGAGTTCTCTCATTGCTCATACCCAGATACTCTGAGTGTGGCTGGGAGAAGAGAAACTCAGTGAGGCTGATCTGTGCTGTGTATGTTCTCTGCAGGAGTGGAGGAACCTCCTTCCTCTTTTGGAGTCTGTGGTGGTGGTCAGCCCAACAGGGGCCAGGCCACAGCCCTCCAGTCAGAGCTGGGCTGGAGCTTGGAGGCTGAGTACAAGAGATTCACCTTCAGGGCATGCCACAGACATGGGCATTAATTTTTTTTTATTGAACTTCAGATGAAGGTTTACAGAACAAACTATCTTTTCATTAAACAGTTAGTATATATATTGTTTCATGGCATTGGTTAACAACCCCATGACATGTCAGTACCCTTCTCAACCCTGGGTTCCCTATTACCGGCTTTCCTGTCCCCTCCTCCCTTCCAGTCTTACCCCTGGGCTGGTGTGCCCCTTTAGTCTCGTTTTATCTCATAGGTCTGTCTAATCTGTGGCTAAAAGGTGAACCTCCACAGTGACTTCATTACTGGGCTAAAAGGGTGTCTGGGGGCCATACTCTCAGGGTTTCTCCAGTCTCTGTCAGGCCAGTTAAGTTTGTCTTTTTTTATGCGTTAGAATTTTGTTCTACATTTTTTTCCAGCTCTGTCCGGGACCCTCTATTGTGATCCCTGTCAGAGCTGTCGGTGGTGGTAGCCAGGAACCATCTAGTTGTACTGGACTCAGTCTGGTGGAGGCCATGGTAGTTGGGGTCTATTAGTCCTGTGGACTAATCTTTCCCTTGTGTCTTTAGTTTTCTTCATTTTCCCTTGCTCCTGAAGGACTGGGACCAGTGAAGTAACTTAGATGGCTGCTCACAGGCTTTTAAGATGACATGGGCATTAATCTGCGATGACTTCTCTACTCTACCTCCCCACCACCCCCAATCAAGCCTACTCCAGTCCTTCAGGTCCCCTCTCTGCTCTCAATGCCCTCCCCCTCTACCTAATCCCTCCTCCATCATCCACCTCCCATCCTCTTGAGGCAGAAGACCTTGAGCTATAGTGGGCTTTGAACAAGCTATTTAACCTCTCTGATTCTCACAATTACCACCTGAAAGATGGGGACAGTACCTGTGTCATAGATGGAGGAAAGGCTGGCTCACCATGGGGCCAGGACAATGGGGGCCATTATTATTGCTGCTCTATTGGGCTGTGTGTCAACCTGAGCAGGGCTGACCAGGCATTTCACAAAAATCCAGATGAAAGACATCCCCAAACGGAGATGAATAACTCTTCTCACTTGAGCAGCATCTCTTGGGTCTGCAAATGCTTTCACCAACGATGGCTGGCAGAACTGATAAGTACTGTCCCTCCTCAAAGAATAGATGAGGAAACCACCGGGACTCAGCAGAAGTAAGCACAAGGTCACGGGACTAGGGTAACGCAGTCAGTGTTCTCCCTACTGCACCCCAGTGTCTCTGGTTTCCCCATAGATTCACTGGATTACCCTCCCCCTTTCCAGACTCTGTAGCTTGTCCCATGAGACAGCTTAATGCCTGCCTATGGCCTCTAAGCAAATTCAGAGCCAAGCTGTCCATCCCATCATAGTTCCTTCTGTCAGTCAAATTCTAGCTCACTAAGAAAATTAATATTTTCTAAGCCTATATTTGGGCCAACTTATATAAAAATTACATTTGCTTATCACTGAAAGGGGGTATGGTTTGTCTGGAAATAGCTTTTCTATTCTTATTTTCAAACATCACAGTGACTATTGAAATTAAAGCAAGCTGCTGGAAAGTCAGGTTTAAGATTTTACCTTTAAATCTTAAACACGGGCACCTCAGTTAGCAGCCACTTCCCAACTCTGCTTAGAGGTGAAAGGGTTGCTATCTATAGAACCCAAGGCAGAGTTGACAAACATAGGCCTACACCTGCCTCATGTGTAAGGAGGCGCAAATGCCTGTCCTGCAGGCCCCCAAGATCCTGTGCTCTCGAAAACTGGTGGGAAGATATTTTCTGAAGTGAACAACCGTGCAAGGCAGAGCTACATATATCTGTACTTCAGACAGTCCCCTTATTCCAGAGTGAATGTGACCAGGACTGGCCTCTCGCAAATTTAGTCTTTAGGTCTATTTGGATCTGAAAGCATGAGTAAACTGAGGCTGACAGAGATGAATCAACTTGTGTCAGATCACCCAGATAGGAAGTGGGGCAGAGCTGGAATTTCACTCTAGGACTGTGATCTTGTAGCGAGGATGATATAAAGTGAAATGACACAAAAACCGTCCTGTGAAGAAGGGCTGTGAGCATCACACAGTTAACGTATGCAGAGGGCCTAGCCTAGCACTGCAGGAAAGAGGCACCAATGGACAAAGAAGACAGTGAAGGTGCTAGGCCAGTATTGGCTGCTCTGAGTTCAGCTGGGACGGCTCAGCTGTGGCCCGGCCTGGGGGGGGCACAATCCTAGGGCAGATGCTGCCAGAAGACCCAGAACATTCTCTCCTTAGGGAATGCAGGCCTGAGTGGGGATTGTTTCTCTCTTTCCACTTCTAAGTATGGCTTTGGGTGAGAAGAGGGTTCAGGAAGTGAGAGTTGACCATAGAAGATGGCTTCTTAAAAGATCTGGTGTTCTGGACCAGAAGATACGACACTGGAAGTCTGGGCTCCTGATGGGAAAAGAGCATTATCTCAAGAAGATGAACAAGTTTAGGTTTGGTGGGAGAGTCATGGACCCAAGTAGCCTTTATAACATAATGCTTGTTTTCTTGCTCACTCAGTCAATCAACAAATATTGCTGGGGATGCTGAGATGAATTAGACATGGTGTGGCATTGTCCTCGAGGCGCTTTTAAGTCCAGTGGGGAGGGGTGACATGTATGAAAGATGGGGACAAGGCAGGGACAAAAGAGGCTCATGAACAAGGTGGAGTGGATGTCCTGGACAGAGGGAGCGGTGAGCTCAGTACTGAAGGGCTGACAGTTCACCATATGGGTGAGGCAAAGATAGATCAATTGAGGCAAAGGGAATGGGACACATAAGATACATAGGTATGGAAGTACCTGGTGTACCTGGGGAACAACCAACAGTTCAATCCAACTGGACAAAAGATACAAGTCAGGCTGAGGTGGAGAAGGTTAGGCTTTGCTCTGAGGATCTGGGGAGCCACCAAAGGGTTCTGGGCAGATAAACAACAGGAGCAGGTTTATACCCTGGAAAGGTCAAGCTGGAAGCCATATCAATGGACAGGACTCAGGGAGACTCTAAGCCAGGGGGCCACTAAGGTGGCTGTTGATTCAGGTGAAAGAGGAAAAAGTTCTGAGAGATGGCAGAGCTGTGGGGCAGAGAGGAGAGGGAGGATTTGAGAGCTGTAGAAAGCAGCCTGTGGGGGAAAACTATGATGAGTGGATGTGGGAGGTGAAGAAATGAGAGGAATCAACACTGAGCCCAGATTCCTGGCTGAGGTGACTTGATAGATAGATGCCATGGACCAAAACGGTGGGCACAGGAGACGGGGCAAGTGTATGTGTATGTGAGTGTGTGCACATGTGGGGCTGACGACTTCACTTGGGCATCCTGCCTGTGAGGACACTCAGGTAGATATGTCCTGCCGACAAATCAGCAGATGGGTGTGGGTTCAGGAGGTGGAATGAGTCAGTGCCCAGATCCATTTACTTAATCTCTCACAGGAGTGTGCTGACCAAACACAGTGTGTATGAAATGGATAATGAGAGCAAGAAAGTTTACAGACTTTCTCTTCCCATCACCTCACTCGGTCCTCATGACAATCCAGTGACCCTTAACACCTCACAGAGTAGCAAATCCATTTGCTTTAGCCCAGTAAGACATGGCAGGACCAAACCCAGGGTTACTAATTTAGGAAGAACCTACTATTGACAAGCATCGTGCAGGGGAGTTTATTCCTGACCCTAAGAACAACCCCAAGAAAGGGGTATTATCACCCCCTTTCTAGTGATGAGGAAAATGAGCCTTAGAGTCTTGTCCGAGGCTAAACAGTTAAAAGAGCTAGTGCTAAAATCAAATGCCTCCTCTGAATCCAAAGCCAGTGTCTCTGATGACCAACAGACTGTGATGGAAAGGTAGCTGTATTATAAATAGACATACAAACATTAATTTTTTCCACCCAAAGAAATATATTGAATGGGAGATAAGGGAAAATGACTTTTTCCATTAAAAAGATACACCATGGTAGGGTAATTCATGAGCCTGAGGGGAGAACACAATGAAGCCACTTTAGGTGGGAATAAAAAGGGAGAAAGCAAAGTAACAGCATTTCAGAGAGCACATAGCGACAACAGGCTTCAGAGGGCACGCTCTTCACTTGCAGACTTTACTGCAACACAGAGCAGCGACAGGGGCTTGGCCATCCACACGCCTGCCGGGAGTCTCACGCATTACATGGGAGAACTAAGCAGGACTTGCTGAAAATGTCCTCTCTCAGAAACAGAAAGGGGCAAAACTACTCACCTGGACTGACTACTAATCCAGAAGAACTGGTGGGTGGTGATGAGGAAGATAGTGACCTAATGATAAAGCGCTGGGGTCACCTGAGAATTTGTAATAGAAGTGGGAGGAAGCATGCACCCTAGATTTTAGAAGAACAGGTTTCTAACAATTGATAAAACGAGACAGGTGAATTCCCAGGGCCAGAGATTATAAAGGGAACGCTGTGACTCCCGAGAGATGGGAATCTCTAATGCAGGAAACCGATGGAACCAGACAGAACAGGCTCACTTAGGAAGAAAGGACTGGGAAACAAAGAAACCCATTGGGTCCCAAAGAAACCTCAGATGAGCTCAGGTTCAGCGCCAACACCAACAAAAGAGGAGAGGGACGTAATCATGGACACAGCAGGAGGGGCAGCACCATTAAGAGCAGGCAGAGGAAAGCAAGGCCTCTCGGATCACAGAAAGGGTCTTTTCTGCTAAGTTGGAATGAGCAGGATGAGGGAGAGAAGGGGACTGCTATCTAGGGCAGATCATCTGTCACTGACCGTAAGACAACAAACCATTCCTGTTGAGGCTCCCTTTTCTCTGAGAAGAATGTCCTTCCATCTGGAAACGGTACAGCAAGCTTTGTGAAAGGGGAAAGAGAAGGCTAACACAAGTGAGAAGACAGAGACAGCACTGAGAGGCCCTGAATGGATTCAGGCATCAGCGCTCAGGGATCGCATCATGAACTAAAAGGCCTTATGAGAGAGGCAAGTGGACATCCATGAATTGTTTCTGAGAAAACATGGCGCACCTAGGCCACTAGGAAGCAGGAGAACAAGGGACCAAAGAAGACAAATACAGTAGGGTTTTCAAATGGACTAACAAGTAGATTTTTGAAAATAACAAGGCAATAAGCTTGATGTCTGTTATCTGTAAAACGCCGAATGGCCCAGTCCAGGGCTTGCAAAGCATGGGATGACTGGGGATACATTAGCAGGAGAATGAATGTGCACTAAATAATGTTAAACCACACCGTGGGAAAGTGATTTTTTTCTTTCAAAATTTCTGACTGTGCCATGGAGACAGTCTCAATTTGGGTCTTGTATAGCTTTGACACCACCTCCCTAATGATTTTACAATCCACGTTATGGCCGCTAACCAAAAGATCGGCAGTTCGAATCCATCAGGTGGTCCTTGGAAACTCTATGGGACAGTTCTACTCTGTCCTATAGGGTAGCTATGGGTTGGAATCAACTCGATGGCAATAGGTTTGTTTTTTTTTTTGGTTTGGTTTGTAATAGAGAGTATGAGCAAGCAGGCTTCCGGTTCTAACTCTGGAAGGTAAAAGCATTTATTCAGAGTTTAACAGCACTGTTTTGTGGTCTCTGTATCTTTATATATACCTTCTATTTATGGCAAGTGATACTGGATTTCCATTTAAGATCTATCTTTTAAAGAAAATGTATTAAAGCAAAAAAGGTGAGAATTTAAAGAAAAATAATAAAAAAATAATAGTACAGAAAATAAAATATCATACAGACCCAGCAATAATTGTTAAAATGATACCCAGATTACTACTACTGTTGCTACTACTACTATTACTACTACTTACATAATGTGTATTATGTGCCAAGCACTCTTCTTGGTTACCTGGGTTAACTCATTTAATTCCCCCACAATCGCATGACTATTATTATCCCATGTTACAAACAGGTTTTTTAGTTTGCCTAAATCATGAATTTGGGAAGTGGGAGAGCCAGGTTTTGAACTCAGGAAGCACAGCCCCAGAGTCTGCAGTCTTAGCCTCTACAACACAGAACCGGATGGCAGCAAACACTTTAGAAGAAAAGATAGTACAGTACTGCATGCCAGCTGGGGTTCCCTAAGTTCAAAAAGAGAGTCCAAGAAACTTATTTTCCTAATAAAAACAATAACAAAAAAAATAAAAATAAAAAACAAGAGTCCTAGACAAGGAAATAAAGTGATGACACAGACATGATGTGCTGTGATTCCAGCAAAGCCCGTGACAAAGCCTCTCTAACTGTGTAGACAAGATGGAGAAACGGCGTGGGCCAAGAACAGAGCTGGGAGGATTAACCGCTACTCTCCAAGGAGTGCCCTCAAAGCTTCTGACTAACAGCATTCTAGAAGGAGGTTTCTACTGCCTCTTGAAGACCTTTAAATTTTTTTTTTAATTGTACTTTAGATGAAGGTTTACAGAACAAACCAGTTTCTCGTTAAATAGTATATCTATTTATTGTTTTATAACATTGGTTGATAACCCCACGACATGTCAACACTCTCCCTTCTCGACCTTGGGTTCTCTATTACCAGCTTTCCTGTCCTCTCCTGCCTTCTAGTCCTTGCCCCTGGGCTGTTGTACCCCTTTAGTCTTGTTTTGTTTTATGGGCCTGTCTAATCTTTGGCTGAAGGGGGAACCCAGGAGTGACTTTGATTACTGAGCTATGTCCAGGGGCCATACTCTCGGGGTTTCTCCAGTCTCTGTCAGGCCAGTAAGTCTGGTATTTTTTTTGTGAGTTAGAATTTTGTTCTATATTTTTCTCCAGCTCTGTCCAGGACCCTCTACTGGGATCCCTGTCAGAGCAGTCAGTGGTGGTAGCCAGGCACTGGACTCAGTCTGTGCAGGCCAGAGAAGATGTGGTCCATTAGTCCTTTGGACTAATCTTTCCCTTGTATCTTTAGTTTTCTTCATTCTTCCTTGCTCCTGAAGGGGTGAGACCAGAGGAGTATCTTACATGGCTGCTAGCAGGCTTTTAAGACCCTGGACGCTACTCACCAAAGTAGAATGTAGAACATTTTCTTTGTAAACCATGTTATGCCAATTGAGCTAGATGTTCCCTGAGATCATGGTCCCCACAGCCCTCAGCCCAGTAATTTGGTCCCTAAGGGAGTTTGGACTTGTCCATGGAGCTTCCATGACCTTACCCTGAACAAGTTGTGCTGGCTTCCCCAGGATTGTGTCCTGTCTTACCCTTCACCAAAGTTACCACTTATCTACTGGCTATTTGGTGTTTTCCCATTCCCACCCCTCCTCTCCCTTGTAACCATCAAAGATTGTTTCTTCTTGTGTGTAAACCTTCTCATGAGTTTTTACAGTAGTGGTCTCCTACAATATTTGTCCTTTTGTGATTGACTTATTTCACTCAGCATGATGCCCCCCAGATTCATTCATGTTGTGAGATGCTTTGCAGATTCACCATTGTTCTTTATCGTTGCGTAGTACTCCAGCGTGTGCATGTACCATAGTTTGCTTACCCATTCATCTATTGACGGGCATCTAGGTTGTTTCCATCTTTTTGCTACTGTGAACAATGCTGCAATGAACATGGAGTGTGTATGTCCATTCATGTGACGGCTCTTATTTCTCTAGGATATATTCCTAGGAGTGGGACTGCTGGATCATATGGTATCTCTATTTCTAGCTTTCTAAGGAAGCACCATATTGTTTTCCAAAATGGTTGTACCATTCCGCATTCCCATCAGCAGTGCATAAGAGTTCCAATCTCCCAGCAGCCTCTCTAACATTTGTTTTCTGTTATTTTTAATCGTGCCAGTAATGCTAGGGTGAGATGCATCTCATTGTGGTTTTGGTTTGCATTTCTCCAATGGCTAGCCATTGCGAGCATTTCCTCATGTGTCTGTTAGCTGCTTGATGTGTTCTTTGGTGAAGTGTTCATTTCCTTTGCCCATTTTTTAATTGGATTATATTTGTTGTAGAGGTGTTGGATTTTCCTGTAGATTTTAGAGATTAGACTTTTGTTGGCTTTGTAATAGCCAAAAATTTTTTCTCAGAAGACCTTTAAAATTTTTATCAGTGACTTAGGTGAAGAGATTCTGATCAAATCTGTGAGTGACAAAAATCTAGGAATGATAGCCAACATAAAGAACAACAGGAGTCTAAAAAGTCTCAAAGAGCCAGATCTGATGGCTGAATGCAACCAATGATGAAGACGAAGACACGCACACACCAAACAATAGCTAACATTTGCTGGACACTTGCAACATGAAGTTCTCTAAGCTTTTTAGTTTTTATAACAAACCTACAAGGTGGGTACTGTTATCTCCATTTTACAGATGAGAAAATTGAAGAGCAAAGAGGTTGAATAACTTACTCAAGAGGAATCATGCTTTGAACCCACATAACCTGATTCCAGAGCCTGACAACATGCTGTATGTGGGTTCCAAAACTCAAGGGCATGAGTACAAAATGGGGGAAACTGGCTCAACAGCAACATTAAAACAAAAAGAAAACAATTTCTGCTGACCACAAGCTTAATGAAATCCCAGTGGATGGCTTGGCTTTGAAAAGCCTAAGGTTATTTTCAGATATGGGAAGGGGAGTTATGAGGAAAAGAGGGATAGCTTATTTTGTGCTGATCCTTGAGGCAGAACGAGGTGGGGTGGAAGTCAAAGTGACATGGATTTTAGCTTGTGAAGAGGAACTATAGAAAATCAGGGCTGAACACCCATAGGATGGGCCCTGGAAGTGCCCTGGCAGAGGTGGGGAGTTGTCTGTCTGGGACATGGCATGTAAAAGCCCTTTGTAATATGTGAGGCTCTGTAGGATTAGAAGTTCTTATTTTGTTGTTTTGGGTGAGAAGGTCGACTATCTCAAACATATTATCCACTCGAATCCTGTGTATTCTGATTTTCAACACAGATTAATTTGGCATTCTGAACTAGATCCTGAGGAAGGGCCTCGGAGAAAATGGCACACAGATCATTCAAAGCAGGTGGTTCAAAATTAATTTAGATTTCATTTTGGAGTATCTTTAAGAATAGACATTTAATAATGAAGATCCAGCGCTATCCACAAGTTAGGGGATTCATCCAGCGTGTGCATGTACCATGTACACCTACTTCTGTTAGATAATCAGTGATTTGTTCCTATGGAAAATGCACGCTCTGTATGCATATGGAAGCTGCTATGCCCAGTACGGTACCTGCCACTCTCCTAATTAAGCCCTTCTCACCTCTTCTGCATCAGGCTTTGCTGTGACACATGCAGAGGTTGGTAGAAGACGTAATTTCTCCTACTTTCTATGGACAGTTAGCCTGGCACCCATACTGCTCTTCCCAGGACCAGCCCTTGTCCTGGGTGGGCAAGGCCCCAGCAAAAGCAGGGGTTCTGGGGCAAGGAAGGTGAGGCAAGGGGAACTGACTTCTGGCTTGTTGTAATGGAGCCAAGCCAGGAATGGGAGTGGCCGGCTGATCATTCTTTAGGGTCAAGCTTGGGGAAGGCCAAAGAGTGGCGGGAAGGAGTGCTGAGCTTCCTGTCATTGCAGGTGTCCATCAGTGGGTCTGAACAGATTTATGAGTTGCACAGGGGATGGACTGGGTGACATTTAAGACCCTTTCCAGCCCTGAGATTCAAATTCCACAAAGCGCCTCATGACACTACACACATTTGAATTGGAAATCAAGCCGCTTACCCGCCCTCGCTCCGTGAGAGTTGTCAACATGACGATGAGTGATAACTTCTGATCCCAAACGATTTGCCAAAACTGTGCACAGGTATGTGGCAGGGGTCCCTGAGTGGCAAGGTACTTGTTTACAAGGTTAGCAGCAGGAATTTCCATCTGACAAGAGATTATTAAGGAATTAGAATCTGTTACTGCCACAAGTTGCACAGGAAACTGGATTTTAAACTCTTCTACTTGGTAACTGACATCGCACCAGAGTAAGATCTCTCATCCATTTACAGCAAATGAGAAATGTCAAAGAAAAATTGACAGTACTCTAGCAATAGTTAAGATAAGTAGGCAATCATCAGAAATGTAACTACAAGATGGCAGAAGAGTTTTAAATGACTTTCATTGCTCTATCTTAAGTATAATCTGTCAGTATTGGTTATTTTGTATTTTCAGCAATGCATACCAATCCTCACCCCAAGTCTTTCCCTCTGCAGGGCTTTCTATCAAAATCTATTTACTTTTCTTTGAAGCACAAACTATACAGGCACATGCCACCAACCACCCGTGCACGTGGCTTTTTGCATTGTTTCCACTGCCTGCACCATTAAGTTGGTCAATCTTGACATTAACCAGTTCAAATGGTTTTAAGCGTCCTCAGTGTCTCTCTCCCATCCCACTCTGCTTTTTGCCTTCTAAACTGAGTCCTTTCTTAGAAAGAATACTCAGAACCTGCTGAGCTTTGGACTAGCACTGTGATTTGATTCAGGACTCATTCTTAAGTGAGGAAGGTAAATGGAAGCTCCTAATTCATGGTTTGGTTAGTGCTTAAGTCAATGGCTCCTCAGTCAGTCCTGGTCTCAGTCCCGTAAGGCTAACAGGAAGGGACTGGGCTGCATGGTCTTGCTGCCTGCACCATCTCTGACACTGAACAGGAAGTCAAAGAATCCCACGGGTGTGGAGGAAGTGGGACCACTGACCAGACTCATTTTTATTAGGGCAGTTCATGATACTCTGTGACAACTTGAGAACTTAAACTGAGAAATCATCTGTTCTTTTAGATCAGGAGCTGGCAAACTATGACCTGAGAAAAAACCTGCCTAAGTGACTGTTGAGTTAAGAATGGTTTTAACATTTTTAAATGGTTACATTTTAAATGGCTATACAAAAAAAACCTGTTGCCATTGAGTCGATTTGAACTCACGGTGACCCCATGTGAGTCCGAGTTGAACCGTACTCCATAGGGTTTCCAATGGCTGATTTTCAGGAGTAGATTGCCAGGCCTTTCTTCTGAGGTGCCTCTGGGTGGACTTGAACTGCCATGCCAACCTTTTGGTTAGCAGCTGATCAAGTTAACTATCTGCACCACCCAGGGACTCCTAAATGGTTATATAAGTACCTACTAATATCCTCGATTTTGCCTCTTGGCCTGCAAAGACCAAAATATTTACCAGCAGCCACTTCTTGGAAACCCTATGGGTCAGTTCTACTCTGTCCTACAGAGTTGCTATGAGTCAGAACCAACTCGATGGCACATAACAACAACAACCTGGCCTACAGGAAAAGTCTGCCACCCCTGGTTTAGATGATGAAATGGAGGTTCAGAGAGGTCCGAGAGAGAAATAATGCTTTCCCCACAACATGTGAAACCTTTCAGCTTCTCCTTTTGGGTTATATACATAGAAGAGATTTTATTTTTCTTATTTTTGGACAGGATGGGTAAAAAAAAAAAGATAGAAAATTACAAATGGACCACTGGCAAGGAACAAACACCTAAATAAATGTCAGCAGTGAAGACAGAAGGCACGTGGACTACGGAGTCAGGAACAGAATCCGAGTTTTGGTCCCACCTCCCGTTAGCTTTGTGACGTTCTCAAATTACTTAATCTCTATGAACCTTAGCTTTCTCCTCTATAAAATGAGACAATCCTGCCTTCCTTCATGTGGCTGTTGTGAGGCTGAAATGAGGTTGTGATCAGAAAAGCATGTTGCCAACCGTAACGCAGGATACATGCCATCATCATTATCGTTGGTACAACGTTCAACGTACTCTTTCTTATTACATAAGATTCCTAACTTACGTTCACATAACTCGCATTAATATAATCTTCATTTCCCTGCAATAATACCCGGGTGGCGTCATCTGTGGGGGAGAGAAAAATTTACCAATTATTCTGAGTGTTATTTTTATCATACCAAGTAAACACGAGTTTCTTTCCCAGCCCCATCTGTAGCGCTCGCCTTATTAGCATAAACACTATTCCCCAACTGTTCAGAGTCTGAAATGGCTGCAATAAAGACTGTGGTGTTTACAGACACACTGAAGATCGCTCCAGAATACCAGACAATCTGTTTTAAAAAGGGAAACGATATCTCACTGCCAGGTGGGGGTGGGGGGTAGGGAAGGAGGCATTCGTGCTGGATACTCACAAGGCAACACATCTTTATATCGGTTTTTGTCCAAATTCTGAGGCAGCTTTGCAAACGTGATGGCCAGACCAGGCTTCTTTCTGTAGAGTTGCTATATAACAAATAGAGAAGTAAAAAAATCATTGCAGAAAACAGCTATGAAAGGAATGTGAAAATGTACTTTACAGTAAAGCTCACAGCACTAAAATCTTAAGATTTAAAAGCTGATTATCAGCTATACATTAAAAGAAAATCTTTCCAAAGAAATTCTACAGTTTCATGGGAAATTGACTAAATTCTTCAATAATTTTTTTCTTTTCTAACATGAAGATCTTTGAGAAAAAAAAAAGTCATAGGAATGGGTCTGAGTCACAGATAACGGATCATGGTGAGTAAAACCTTATTTTTTTTGACAAATGCTAAAAGCAAAAAGAGTAAAAAAATAAATAAATAAAAAAGAATTCTGAATCAAAATTAAAGGGAAATCATCTAAATTAGTGGAAAAACAATTTCCTCCAATTCAATACAGCGAACCGTATTCTTTGCTTAAGAGTATTTCATTCATCATTTCAGACGTATATTTCTACAGTAAAAACATCCATCCCAATATGTAGTAAACTTCATTTAAAGGGGTATTTCCTTGTACACGCAATCACTATCAAAAAGTTTAAATACTCTTTGCATGTGTACAAGCACATTAGACACTGTACAGTACTTAGCATGATTTTCACAACAGCCCTGCGAGAGGTATTAATAGCATCCTTATATTGCAAGTTACAGTCAGAGGACAAATGCTTTGCTGAAGATCACAAAGGAGAGGAAAAATTCAGATCTGACCTCAGTGTTCCGTTCTCTTTTTTATACAGTTGTGTCCCCCACCTTGAACAACAGAGTTGGGTCCTACTCACCATAGGTTTTTATTAACTCTATGGGAATTTAAAAACAACATAACTTTTTTTTCTATGTTGTAAGTGATCTATGTTTTTCCCATTAACTTTGAGAAATTCACACACAAACACACACACAAAATTACGAGTAATCTCACAACCCTGAGATGACCTTTCCATATGTCTTCTCTAGTTTATTTTTTCTGTGCACGACCAAAACCAAACCCACTGCTGTCAAGTTGACAGCATAGTTGACAGAATAGGGCTGCTCCATAGGGTTTCCAAGGAGCAGCTGGTGGATTCCAACTGCCAACCTTTTGGCTGGCAGTCAAGCTCTTAACCGCTGTGTCACCAGGGCTTCCTTTCTCTGCATACATGTACACAAATATGCACATATACAAACACATGTAATATACACAGTGAAACCTGTGAGAGATGGAACTCGACAGGGCTGCCTTGTTTTTCTGGGTCTCACAAGTTTTCCACCTTTGACAGGGTACAGTTTTATCACTTTCCCATCACTCATTTTAGTGGACAATACTTGAGTTTTCCTTCTCTGACAGGTTTCTGTCTTACACAGGTGCCAGCTTTTGCAGAATTTACTCTATATACATGTCTTAGTCATATAGTGCTGCTATAACAGAAATACCACAAGTGGATGGCTTTAACAAAGAGATATTTATTTCTTCATAGTAAAGTAGGCTAAAAGTCCAAATTCAGGTTGTCAGCTCCAGGGGAAGGCTTTCTCTCTCTGTTGGCCTTCTTCTCATCAGTGTTCCCCGGAACTAGGAGCTTCTCCGCATAGGGACCCTGGGTCCAAAGGACACGCACTGCTCCTGGCACTGCTTTCTTGGTGGTATGAGGTCCCCGTCTCTCTGCTCACTTCTTGTTTTATATCTTAAGAGATTGCCTCAGGACACAATCCAATCTTGTAGACTGCATCCTGCCTTACTAACACAACTGCCACCCATCCTGCCACATTAACATCATAGAGGCAGGATTTACAACATATAGGAAAATCACACAATACCAGGAATCATGGCCCAGCCAAACTGATACACACATTTTTTGGGGGACATAATTCAATCCATGACAATATACATGCATTTTTAAAACCAAAAAATGAGATTGAACTATATATTATCACTTCTCATATTCTACAGAACTCAAGTGTCCTGAAAGAAGCTAACAGGTATTTTTTTAAAAAAGTTTCATGATCAAAGATATTTGGGAGATACCACAAATCATACTTTTTTGGAGATTCACAGAACATAAATCCTGTAGTGCATAAACCTAGTTCTGATTAGCTGAGTATTTCTCAATTTGACCTTGGAAGGTCTCAGCATTTCAAACAAGTGTTTAGTGAAATACTACCATAGTTTGGAGACTGTTTTTTCCTGATTATATAGGTTTTTAATAGTCTCTATACACATGATTTTTAACGGTTTGATGATAATCTACCATTTACTATGATTTAACTTTTATCCTACATTTGAATTAAGCTGTTTTCAATATTTTACTCTTATACATTCCTAGGAACAGAATTACTGCATCAAAGCATATTTTTAAGAACTGTGATATAAATAATCAAACTGCCCTACAGAAAAGTTATATCCGTTTACATGCTCACAGCGTAAAAGAATGATTAGTTCACCAAATCGTGGCCAACAGAATCAACTAAGGTGTCTCTGTAATTTGAGTGTGGAGGTTGAACATTCTTTTTTCCCATTTTTGAAATTTTTACTTCTTGTTTTGTAAGCCGGCTCCTGTTGGAGATTTTGGGCCATAATAATAGTGCCACATCAGATTCACTTACAAAATGCTTAGAATTTCCAAACTACAGGAGCTCAGCTACTGATCATCATCATGATTTCAGTTTATAATGATTAAGGAGCCACTAAATAACTTCTTAAATAAATATCTGCAGGCTTTAATGGACTGTCTGCACTCATTCTAGAAACAAATTCATGATTTATTGGAGGTTTTGGTTTAGTTCCGGCAGGAGGAGGATATGTGAGTCAGTCAAATTTACCTAAATGGCATCTCAGTTATAATTGATTAACTGCATAGAAGTGAAATCCAATTAAGTGAATCTAATCAGTAAAGCTGATCTGGAGGTAAAAAGAGGTTTTTTTTTCCCTCCAAACAACAAAAATGTAAATGCAATCAACTTGAGATGATTGAGCAGAAACGCACAGATCTAGTTTTAATTACAATACAATTTTAAATGTATCTTGGCAGTAATGATCTGTTGACAGGACTGTAAAGTACTAAAATAGATTTTTATTTGTAAATAAAATACTACGGCAGCGTTTTAAAAATTTTAAATGTGCGCACTTTGGGCTTTATTTGACGGAAGTACATAAAAATACATGTCAAAAAAGTTTACCTGCAGAATTTTTTTTATTAGCAGAAAACTGTAAACAATGTCAACGTTCCTATATAGGAAGAAGTGTTGATTTAAATTATGGCACAGTCATACCACAAAATTCTGTGCAAGTAATAAAACAGACTAAAAGTACAGACTTGAAAGGATGTTCATTCATCTATTTTTAAGTTCAAAATGCAAGTTTGAGAATAATATATACAGTGGTGATTCCATTTATACACATATTGGCACACATGTATACGTACACATTATGTGTAGATACACACAATCCTGTGTGTGTGTATACATTTATGCATATGTAAAAATATATTTGCATGAGCAACGGAGTAAGTATGAACAATATACATCATACTATCATTTATAAATTATAATAAAGAGGAAGAAACTGAAGGTGGTGGAGGTCAGGAGACAATTCTTCTTTGGCCATTTCTGAATTACTTCATTAGCATAAGAGTGAGAATTAACATTTCTTAAATTAAAATGACTGAAATGATAAGAAGAACTACAACAAAGGAAACCTATTTATAAAATTAAAAAATAAAACCTTTTATGAAAAACTAGGCAAACAAATCTAGTTTTTTTTTCTTTTGGCAGGTTTGACAACCCACTCAGATTTATGTATGCCTTGCAAAGTCCAGTGCTGAATCCTACTTCCACTGAATTGCTGCAGTCCTATTCAAACAGTTAGTGTCTGAAGTGTTAAGAGTTGGTTGTCAAGCTCCTTTAAAGTCAGTAGACTCGTCTCCAAATCTTGGGGGCTGCCTGGCAGGCTGGGTATGAACAGACTGCTCTGAGAAAGAGGGAAGAGAGTCGAAAGTACTGCATAGGAAACACAGGTAGGTCTTTCTGGAAAGGTCAAAGATGTGGAGGAAAATGAGTTAAGGCTTTATTATATTGGCCAGAATCTGAGACAAAGCTTTTTAAGGAACTACTCATTGGAAAAACACAATTTGCTTAGTTAATTCCTGGGCTGGAAGTATGTGAGGCGGACAAGAGCTTCCTTGAATGAGGGTGATCAGGAGGCTGAGAAGCAGGGTCATGGGACAGAGGGTTATAAACCACTTAGTTGAAAAACTATTAATTTTTATGTCTTAAAATGCTTTGTTATCATCCTATCTAAGAAGCTCTGAAACTAAGGCTAAGTTATAAAAAGATTGGCTGAGAGGGGTTGCTAAGGAACAGTTGTATTTAAATTACAGCATCAGTATCAACAGCTCTGGCCTCCAAAGACAAAAAATTGAACAGTAGGAGCTGGGTTACTCTAGTGCAGTATGGTGGGATAGAAAAGAAGAGATGGTTTTCCAGTTTAAATGTTTCTTATTAAAATAAGCCATTTAATATTAGAGAGAAGGCATCAGGAGATGACTCTGATCTCCTCAGACTTCTCACCCAGTCAAAGATGTGAAATCTAGTAACATGCCTCAGATGAGGGCTTTAGACACCCAACTGGTTGCAACTAGTGGATGTTGGCAAGGCCCAGCACAGTGGAAGGAAAAGGAAACTCTCAATGAAATTCTTGAAGGCTGAGAGCCCCAGACCAGTACCAGTTGCCACTGAGTCAACTCTAACTCATGGCAACCCCACGTGTCTTGTCTCAGAGCAGAACTGTGCTCCATAGGGTTTTGATTTTTCAGAAGTAGATCACCAGGCCTTTCTTCCGAGAAGCCTCTGGGTGGCTGCAAACCTCCACCCTTTCTGCCAGTGGCCAAGCACATTAACTGTTTGCATCACCCAGGGACTCTAAGAAGCCCAACAGGAGGAGGAAAAAGAGAAAAGACAGACAAAAAAGAAGGTGGGGGGTGGGGAGGGGTTTGAGGGAACAGTGGGTAAGGAAAG